AAACCTAATGCTTGAGCCTGGAGAAAGGATGGAGATAAAATTGGAAAATTCAAGCTGGATGATTGTCTAGACTCAGCTACTCTGAACATTGCAGACAATCAGGACTTTAGAAAAAAAAGACCAGTTTCACAAGTGAAAAGGAAGCAAAGAGCAAATTTAACATATCAGACGAGGAGTGCCTGGTTGCTAGATGCAGTGCTAAATCAATAGGCCTCCAAGAACAAATTATCTGCAACACAGAAACAAGGGTTAGTGTGGCTCTAGTTAATACTGAGAATACCCCAGGGAACAGCGTGAATTTTAGATGGAGGCAGAATATCATAAATGTGAGGGTATTTCTCATGATGGTGGTGAATGGTCACTGTGAGCCCCCTGGGGACCCCTGGAGCATGGAAATGGGGGAAGGGCAAAGAGGAGGGGGAGGAGGAAGAGGAGGGTACCACAAGGCCTGGGAGCAGACACAGAAGGGAGGAAAAAAACCTCTTCTGGCTTCCCTGACGCTTCCTCGTCCTCTCGTAGGGAGCTAAATTGGTAATTAGGGGTGTCACGCACAAAAACCTGGGGAAAATCTTGACATTTGTGTTTTTTTTTTTTTTCAAAGAGGAAACGGGAGGAAGGGGAAAAAGGAGGAGGAGGAGGGAGAGGAAAAGGGAGGAGGAGGAAAGAGGAGGGAGAGGAAAAGGAAAGAGAAGGGAGAGGAAAAGGGAGGAGGGAGAGCAAAGAGGAGGGGGAGGAGGAGGAGGAGGAAAAGCAAAGAGGAGGGGGAGGAGGAGGAGGAGGAAAAGCAAAGAGGAGGGGGAGGAGGAGGAGGAGGGTACCACAAGGCCTGGGAGCAGACACAGAAGGGAGGAAAAAAACCTCTTCTGGCTTCCCTGACGCTTCCTCGTCCTCTCGTAGGGAGCTAAATTGGTAATTAGGGGTGTCACGCACAAAAACCTGGGGAAAATCTTGACATTTGTGTTTTTTTTTTTTTTCCCCCCCCCCCTCTGTTTTTTGGAAGGTGGGCGCCTGCGGTTTCAACAGCCGGATTTTGCCCAACGTTTATCCCATTCGTTTGGTGAAGGTGAACGAGGACACGATGGAGCTGATCCGGGATTCCAGGGGGCTGTGCATCCCCTGTCGCCCAGGTGAGCTTAACCCCAAACCCATCAATTCAGCTTTTTCTCCTAAAAAATATATATCTCCTAAATTTCGACTGGTTTAAGGCATTTCTAGTGTCCGGGTTTCCACTTTGGTTCTTTCCTCCAGGAAAAAAAAGGGATGAGTTCACCAAGTGAAGGTCTTTTGGGTGGGTGCAGGGTGTAATTTTGGGGTGTCACCTCCGTTCCCCGCAGGAGAGCCGGGGCTGCTCGTGGGGCAGATAAACCAGGTGAGCTTAACCCCAAACCCATCAATTCAGCTTTTTGTTCTAAAAAATAATATATCTCCAAAGTTTCGACTGGTTTAAGGCATTTCTAGAGTCCAGGTTTCCACTTTGGTTCTTCCTCCAGGATGGTTTAAGGCGTTTCTAGCGTCCAGGTTTCCACTTTAGTTCTTTCCTCCAGAAAAAAAAAAGGGATGAGTTCACCAAGTGAAGGTCTTTTGGGTGGGTGCAGGGTGTAATTTTTGGGTGTCACCTCCCGTTCCCCACAGGAGAGCCGGGGCTGCTCGTGGGGCAGATAAACCAGGTGAGCTTAACCCCAAACCCATCAATTCAGCTTTTTGTCCTAAAAAATATATATCTCCTAAATTTCGACTGGTTTAAGGCATTTCTAGCATCCAGGTTTCCACTTTGGTTCTTCCTCCAGAAAAAAAAAAGGATGAATTCACCAAGTGAAGGTCTTTTGGGTGGGTGCAGGGTGTAATTTTGGGGTGTCACCTCCGTTCCCCGCAGGAGAGCCAGGGCTGCTCGTGGGGCAGATAAACCAGCAGGATCCCCTGCGGCGCTTCGACGGCTACGTCAGCCAGAGTGCCACCAACAAGAAGATTGCCTACGACGTGCTGCGCAAAGGGGACCAGGCCTACCTTTCAGGTAGGGATGATTGAAGACCTTCCTGGTCCAGAGGGAGGTCTCCAGAGACCTAAATCTGGGATTTTTCGGAGGAATCGCAGGATCTCGGGCTGGTTGGGGTTGGGAGAGACCTTCTGAGATCATCTCCAACCCCCTGCCCTCCTTCAAGGAACCTTCTGAGACCATCTCCCAACCCCTGATCCCCAGCAGGGCTTTCCCACACGTGGAGATGGTCTCCAGAGACCTAAATCTGGGGTTTTTCAGAGGAATCGCAGGATCTCAGGCTGGTTGGGGTTGGGAGAGACCTTCTGAGACCATCTCCAACCCCCTGCCCTCCTTCAAGGAACCTTCTGAGACCATCTCCAACCCCCTGTCCCCCTTCAAGGGACCTTCTGAGACCATCTCCAACCCCTTGTCCCCCTTCAAGGGACCTTCTGAGACCATCTCCAACCCCTTTGACCCCCTGGAAGGGACCTTCTGAGACCATCTCCAGTCTCTGCCCCTTGGGAGGGACCTTCTGAGACCATCTCCAACCCCTGTTCCCCTGGAAGGGACCTTCTGAGATCATCTCCAACCCCTGATCCCCAGCAGGGCCTTCTCACACGCAGATAGGGTCTTGAGAGACCTAAATCTGGGATTTTTCAGAGGAATCATGGAATCTCAGGCTGGTTGGGGTTGGGAGAGACCTTCTGAGACCATCTCCAACCCCCTGCCCTCCTTCAAGGGACCTTCTGAGACCATCTCCAACCCCCTGCCCCCCTGGAAGGCACCTTCTGAGACCATCTCCAAACCCCTGTCCCCCTTCAAGGGACCTTCTGAGACCATCTCCAACCCTTGATCCCCAGCAGGGCCTTCCCACACGTGGAGATGGTCTCCAGAGACCTAAATCTGGGATTTTTCAGAGGAATCATGGAATCTCAGACTGGTTGGGGTTGGGAGGGACCTTCTGAGACCATCTCCAACCCCCTGCCCCCCAGCAGGGGCACCCAGAGCAGGTTGGACAGGATCACCTCCATGGATATTTGGAATATCACCGGAGAAGGAGACCCCCCCACCCCCTCTGGGCAGCCTCTTCAGGGGCTTCAGCACCCTCAAAGGGACATCCTCCTTATTTCCCGGGTCCCAGTTTGTCCCTGTTGCCCCTTGTCCCATCACCGGGCACCACTGGGAAGAGTCTGGCCTTGTCCTCTTGCCCCCACCCTTTAGATGAGATGATCTCCAAGGTCTTTCCCAACCTAAACGATCCTCTAATTAACAGATGCGTTAACATTTTGAAGCTGCCAGCTGTTGAGTTGCTCTGGATTTAATAAAAAATGAACGTTTTTGAAGAGGGAAGGGATTTTTTTTCCCTTCTCCTTTTCCTACCGCTGCCCCTCTCTGCTCACGAGGAGACGCGGTGGTGGGACCTCAACGAGGTGTTTCTGCCAACTCCAAGTGGAGGGTGACGAGGTAGCCCCCACCCTAACAAAGGGGGTTTTTTAAATATTTTTGGGTTTCCTCCCCTTCTCTCAGGAGACGTGTTGGTGATGGATGAGCTGGGCTACATGTACTTCAGAGACCGGAGTGGGGACACCTTCCGCTGGCGAGGGGAGAACGTCTCCACCACCGAGGTGGAAGGAGCCCTGAGTCACATCCTCAACCAGACGGACGTCGCCGTGTACGGAGTGGAGGTCCCAGGTAAAACATGGACTCGGAGCCCTCAGGACCCGAAAAAATACTACACAAAACCCACCAGATTCATGTCAGAACGGGTGGAAATCGGTCGCTTTTATTGTACCCCAAAATGTAAAGGTAAAACGGGGTCAAACAGGGAATTTGACACGTTTATTCTGAGCAGGAGAAATAACCGATCCAGAGGCAGGATCTTTATTTCAGCCTTAAAAAAGGAAGGTTTTTTACAATGTTGTCACCAAAGGAGGTGGTCAGTGGAAAGTCAGTGACCTTCCAACCATAGTTAAAACTCTTTATTTAAAAAGGAAAGCGTATTGTCAGAGGATTGAAAAGCAGAAAAGAAGATAAAAGGGAAAAGAAAAATGGCAGCAGGAGCTGATTTTCAAGCTTATTTGTGTTGGTCACGAAAGAAAATGTGCTAATTTGATTGTTTGTCTTCACTAAATTCTTAAACACGGTAGGTGCAAAGTGAGGATCTTCCTCAGATTGTTTTTCTTCAGATCTTTACCTGATGGTTCCACAGGTCAATGGTTTTTTTTACTGGAGCTTTGCAGAAGCTCTTGGTGTGAAAAGACCATTCTGTGGGTGTGTGAGGACCCGTAAATAGAATCATAGGAAGGTTTTGGTGGGAAGGGACCTTAAAAAACATGGAGTTCCACCCCTGGACACCTCCAACCAGACCAGGTTGCTCCAAGCCCACTCCAACCTTGGCCTTGAACCCCTCCAGGGATGGGGCAGCCACAGCTTCTCTGGGCAACCTGAGCCAGGCTCTCCCCACCCTCAGAGTCAACAGTTTCTCCCTCAATCTTCCTTCTTTTACCTCAAAACCGTTCCTCCTCATCCCATGGCTCCCCTCCCTGGTCCCTGCTCCCTCCCCAGCTTTTCTGGAGCCCCTTGAGGGACTGGAAGGGGCAAAATTCCCCCCCTTCTCTCCCTTCTGGGGACCCAGCCCAGGATGGTGAATCTTGGAGTCGTGCAGGAACAGGGGGGTTGAGGAGGTGACGAGGAAGAGGAGAAGAAGAGGTGACAGGGTGAGGAAGACACGGGGATGGAACTGAGCGTGTGTGAGGGACGTGTTGCCCAGGAAGGTGCCCATCCTGGCACTTTTTGAGTTTTTTATCAGGCCAAATGCGAGAAAAACCCAAAGAAATCAAGAATTGGGTTAACTTTGAGGGGTGGCCTCAACTGAGGGGTGAGGAGACACGCTGGCGACAAACCTCTGGCCTGAAATTTGCTTCTCCTCTCTTCTTGAAGAGACACGAGAGGGGACATGGAGGGAAGGGGGGGAGACACCTTCATCTCTTGAAGGCTCCCCATATTTCCTCGCTCTGCTCTTCTTTTTTGCAGGGGTGGAGGGCAAAGCTGGGATGGCGGCCATCGCTGACCCCATGGCCAAAGTCAACCCCAACCTCCTCTACCAGGAGCTGCAGAAGGTGCTGCCTCCCTACGCCCGGCCCGTCTTCCTCCGCCTCCTCCCTGAGGTGGACACCACAGGTACCCATCCCTCGCAGAACCCCCTTTTTTAGTTAAGTCTTAAACAAGAAATCAGCTCTTTCCACCTCCTTAGAGAAAATATTTCTATTAACTCTCCTGCTTGCCATCCGTTCCCTTTCCTGAGGTTTTTATTCCATATATCGGCCCGGTCAGCCCCTTTTTGGTCACTATGGTTTCAGTTTTCCATTTGCCAGGAATTTTACCAGAAATTATTTTTTTCCCCCCCTCTCTTTGAAGGTACATTTAAGATTCAGAAAACCCAGCCCCGAGCCTAAGAAGAGGTAAAAATTACACAAAACCCAGGCCCATGTCTGAGGAGAAGTAAAAATCACACAAAACCTGCCCCCCTGCCCGAGGAGAGGAAAAAATTTCACTAGCCCCATGCCTGAGAAGTGAAAATTTCACAAAACCCAGCCCCCTGCCCGAGGAGAAGTAAAAATTTCACAAAACCCAGCCCCCTGCCTGAGGAGAGGAAAAAATTACACAAAACCCAGGCCCCTGCCCGAGGAGAGGTAAAAATTACACAAAACCCGGCCCCCTGCCCAAGGAGAAGTAAAAAATTTCACAAAACCCGGCCCTGTGTCTGAGGAGAAGTAAAAATTACACACAGTTGATGTAAAAACTCCGGTAACGTTAACGAGTTGCTAAATTTCTTAGCGAAGCAGAAACAAATCCTTCCTCGTGCCACTTCCTCCTCGTTCTACACAGGCTTTTTGAGGCCAAATATCTTTAATTTTTTTTAATTTTTCTTTTTTTTCCTCGCTTTGAAGGTACATTTAAGATTCAGAAAACCCGCTTGCAGAGGGAAGGCTACAGCACCATCTCGGACCCCTTGTATTTTCTGGATCTAAAGTTGGGAAAATACGTTCCACTGGACGAATGCCTTTACGAAAGGATTTGTTCTGGAAAAGCCGCTTTATGATCTGGTCGGATTCAGCCTTTTTTTTCCGAGGGGGGGCAAGAAATGTGCCCCTTTTCCCATCCCCCCGGACTAATGGCGGGGGGCCACGGCGCTGGCGGGAAGCCATGGATTCCTGCGCCCTCCTTCCGTGGGGGTCTTCCTCCCCTCAAGCGCGTTAACCCCCCGCCTGCTGCCGCCTCGTTAACCTGCCCCCCGAGCCCCTAGAGAGTATTTTTGTAACCACTACCCGCCATGGCCATATTTATTTACGGAGATACCTGTGCCCCATGGGGAGAGGGGGGGAGGCTTCTCTCTGCTCCCTCTCCCAACTTAACCGGTTTAGACCGTTTTTAACTGCACTTGGCGCTAGTTTTAACGACCCTTAAGTCTGGGGATGTGAGGATATTAAAAAGAACAAACACAAAACTGAAAAAGCCTTCGATGGGTGCTGTGGGGGAGGGGAGCGCCTGCTGGGGAGGCACCTGGGGAGGTGCTTGAGGCCTTATGGAGCCCGGCCGAGGGGAGGGGGTTATGCTTTGACGGTGGAAAACCGAGTAACGGGGTGAAGCTGCGTGAGTTCAGCCGTTTATATCCCCAATTTTTCCGCCTGTGGGGGCGGGATAGGCCGCAGGCTGCTAGGCCGCGGAGAGGCCTAGGCCGCGGGGTTGCTAGGCAACGGCGCGTCGCGCAGAGCGCGTCACTTCCGGCGCGACGCCGCTCCCGGTAGTGCCGCCGTCGCCATGGCTGCCGCCGCCTGCCGCGTCTCCGTCTTCCCCTCCCCGCAGGAGCTGGGCCCGGCCTTGGCGCAACTGGTGGCCGAGCGGGCGGCGGCGGCAGCGACGGGGGGAGGCGGCGGCCGCTTCTCTCTGGGCCTCTCCGGAGGGAGCCTGGTAGGGATCCTCTCCCGGGACTTGCCCCCCGCCGCCGTAGGCCCCGCCGCCCCGGCCGGTTGGCTGGTGGCTTTCTGCGACGAGAGGCTGGTGCCTCCCGAGCACCCCGAGAGCACCCTCGGGGCCTACAAGGTGAGCGGGGCCGGGGTGGCGGAGCTCTGCCGCCCCGCCGACCGGTCCTGAGCCTTCCCCCTCTCCGCAGGCCCAGCTGCTGCCCCGGTTGCCCGGTCCCGGGCCGCGGGTGCTGGCTCTCACCCCCGGGCTGGCCCCCGCCGCCGCCGCAGAGGATTACGCCGCCCAGCTCCGGCAGGTACCGGCCGCGGAGGGGGGTGGTGGGATGCTGGGGGTCGGCTGGAACCGTTCCTCGCCCTCCTTCCATCTCCCGGTTTCTCCCCACTTCCATCATCTCCCGGTCTCTCCCCGATTCCTCCATCTCCGGGTGTCTCCCACTTCCATCTCAGGGTCTCTCCCCACTTCCTCCATCTCCCGGTCTCTCCCCTTCCAGCTCTGGGTCTCTCCCCGTTTCCATCATCTTGGGGTCTCTCCCCGATTCCATCATCTCCCGGTCTCTCCCCATTTCCATCATCTCTTGGTCTCTTCTCTTCCATCTCCTGGTCTCTCCCCGTTTCATCATCTCCAGGTTTCTCCCCTCTTCCATCATCTCGGGGTCTCTCCTCCTTCCATCTTGGGGTCTCTCTCTCGGGGTCTCTCCCTCTTCCATCTCGGGGTCTCTCCCCACTTCCATCATCTCAGGGTCTCTCCCCTCTTCCATCATCTCCCAGTCTCCCCTCCTTCCATCTTGGGGTCTCTCCCCGTTTCCCTCATCTCTTGGTCTCTCCCCGCTTCCATCATCTCCTGGTCTCTCCCCCTTCCATCATCTCCTGGTCTCTCCCCCTTCCATCATCTCCTGGTCTCTCCTCCTTCCATCTTGGGGTCTCTCCCCCTTCCATCATCTCCTGGTCTCTCCCCCTTCCATCATCTCCCGGTCTCTCTCTTCTTCCATCATCTCCAGGTCTCTCCTCTTCCATCATCTCGGGGTCTCTCCCCCTTCCATCATCTTGGAGTCTCACCCCTCTTCCACCATCTCCAGGTCTCTCCCCGCTTCCATCATCTCTTGGTCTCTCCCCATTTCCATCATCTCCCGGTCTCTCCTCTTCCATCTCCCGGTCTCTCCCAGCTTCCTCCATCTCCCGGTCTCTCCCCTCTTGCGCACCCGCTGCTCACCCTGGTTGTGGTCAGATCCTGGATTGTTCTGCTTTTTTGGGGTATTTTTTCCCTGTTTTCATGGTTTTTGTTGTTTTTTTTTCTCTCCTCTGATAGGAAAAAGAGAAAATCGTTGCTGCTATCACTGACTCCCCGAAACCGCCGCCAGAACGGATCACATTAACCCTCCCCGTGCTCAACGCCGCCCGGATGGTCGTCTTCGTGGCCACGGGGGAAGGCAAAGCTGCTGTTTTAAAGGTTTGGACCCCAATTCTTCATCATCCTCATTAAAATCCGAGGTGTTTTGGGGTGGGTGATGAAAATTGGAGACCTCCTGGTGGATGGTGGTCGCGTTCCGGGGGTGGTTTGCTCTTCCTGTTGGGCTGAGCTGCGCTTCCATCATCTCCCAGTCTCTCCCCACATCTGTCATCTCGGGGTCTCTCCCCTCTTCTGTCATCTCGGGGTCTCTCCTCCTTCCATCTCTGGGTCTCTCCCCTCTTCCACCATCTCCCGGTCTCTCCCCCTTCCATCTCGGGGTCTCTCCCCACTTCCATCATCTCAGGGTCTCTCCCCTCTTCCATCATCTCCCAGTCTCCCCTCCTTCCATCTTGGGGTCTCTCCCCGTTTCCCTCATCTCTTGGTCTCTCCCCGCTTCCATCATCTCCTGGTCTCTCCTCCTTCCATCTTGGGGTCTCTCCCCCTTCCATCATCTCCTGGTCTCTCCCCACTTCCATCATCTTGGGGTCTCTCCTCCTTCCATCTTGGGGTTTCTCCCCTCTTCCTCCATCTCCAGGTCTCTCTCCCCATTTCCATCCTCTCCCGCTCTCTCCCCTCAGGCTTTCCCAGATGAGGATATTCCCGTTTTCGATTTGCTGGTGCTGGGGATCGGGCCGGACGGACACACCTGCTCCCTCTTCCCGGGACACCCCCTGCTCCAGGTCAGCTCCTCCCTCCCGTGTCCCCCCCGGGGGACCCCCAAATTCTCCTCAGTGACTCCCCAACAACCTCCCTGCGACAGTTCCCGCTCTGGGGGCAGCTCAGTTCCAAAAAGAATTAAGAGCAGGGAAAAGAAGCTGTTGATTTGGCTGATCCCCCTGCTCCATTCCTATAATTTTCTCCTAATTTGAGGAATTTCGTGGGGGAAATAAAAAAGATTTTGAGTTTGGTGGGGGTTTGGAGGCGCTGAGGATCCTCGGTCGCCCTCAGCACCCGCTGCTCACCCTGGTTGTGGTCAGATCCTGGATTGTTCTGCTTTTTTGGGGTATTTTTTCCCTGTTTTCATGGTTTTTGTTGTTTTTTTTTCTCTCCTCTGATAGGAAAAAGAGAAAATCGTTGCTGCTATCACTGACTCCCCGAAACCGCCGCCAGAACGGATCACATTAACCCTCCCCGTGCTCAACGCCGCCCGGATGGTCGTCTTCGTGGCCACGGGGGAAGGCAAAGCTGCTGTTTTAAAGGTTTGGACCCCAATTCTTCATCATCCTCATTAAAATCCGAGGTGTTTTGGGGTGGGTGATGAAAATTGGAGACCTCCTGGTGGATGGTGGTCGCGTTCCGGGGGTGGTTTGCTCTTCCTGTTGGGCTGAGCTGCCCTTTTCCTCTCTCCCCACAGCGCATTTTGGAAGGGGAGGAGGAAAACCCCCTTCCTGCTGCTCGTGTGAGGCCTCACTCCGGGCAACTCCGCTGGTTCCTGGACGAGGCAGCGGCCAAAGAGCTGACAATTCCCCTGGAGAAACATTCCATCTTGTAGGAGCCTCTGGTGACATCAAAATTCCCTCTTTCGGGACATTCCAGGTGACAAACGCCACGTTTGTTCATTAGCCCTCGGTGGTGGTGGCCCAGAAAACACACCTTTTGATTATTTTTTATTTTTTTTCTCCTTTTCCCCCCATTTTTCTTTTGAATTCTGGAAAAAAGGGTGTTTTTCCCCAGCAGGAATTCCCCCAGGGAAGAATTCCTTCGCTTTGGGTCGGAACGGGTCGGGGTGAGGGCGCCGGGTGCTTCCCTTCGCTCCCGGTTACGCCGAATTAAAACTGGATGGATTTGGGGTTTTCTGGTTCTTTTTGCCACGCTCTTCCCTGAGCGAGGGATGGGAGGAGCCTGGAGGGGGAACAGACAGATGGATGGATGGATGGATGGACGGACAGACGTGGGTCTGGAGCAGCTCCAGCTTCTCTCGCTGCGTTGTTGGATTTGTCTGATTTGATCCTGATTTGATTGTGATTTATTTCTTGGCTTAAAAATCCCCGTGGGTGGCTCCTGCCTGGTTTTTCTGTGCATCGTGGTGAGGTTTTTTGGTGATGAACCCCCCCTTGAGAGGCCAGAACCCCCCCTTTGAGAGACCCAAAGCCCCCCTTTGAGAGACCCAAAGCCCCCCTTTGAGGGACCAAACCCCCCCTTTGAGAGACGAAACCCCCCTTTGAGAGCCCAAAACCCCCCCTTTGAGAGCCCAA